TACACGTTAAAAAATATATTTTAAAGGGAATATTAGAGTTTCATACCTTGGATAAGTACTGGTCTTTAGGCCTTTTTTTTCCTAATCATTTGTCATGCTGACTTGTTGGTATAACTCCCACTCTCTATGAGGTCCCACTGCAAATGATCTTACTTGTCTTGTTTCCTAATTTTCACTGTGTTAATGTGATGTATCATTTATTCAGTGAATATATCTCAACTTGTTAATGTTCCATTCACCATTAGAGATGAAATGTTTTACCAAAGTTTTTGAACTCTTACTAGCTTCTGGATACTCCTTAGCAAGAGGTTCCTTGCCATTCCAATTATCATATCAGAAACTATAATTTCTTGAGTTAACTTGCTAAATCATATGATCCTCTGCTTTCTTCCTCACTTGTGTCAGAGACTTCCATAGAGAGGAATTACCAGAGGCCCGTTGCTTAGTAGTGAGGTGTGTTCTAACACAGTATTTGTATTTGAGGAAAAAGGACAATAAAGATGGTGTGGACCTAAATCTCCACCATCTCTTTGTAGCTACGACTTTATTGTATTCTTGTATATAAAGCATGTACAAGTTCTCATTCTATTTATTCTAGCTGCTGCTATCTTTGGGGCAGTTAGGAAGAAGCTTTTCTCCCTATTGACCATTTGTCCTGAACTCTCTTCATATTTTTGGATCTTTTGCATCACCAGCTTAATTGAATTATTTCCGACAATATCATTTGCATAGGCCAAGTGATTATTCAGTGACCCATTTTTGGACATGGAAAATGGAATAAGATTTTTATTTTAATGTAACTCATTTAAAGATCTAAATAAAACTTCTGCAGCTATAATAATTAAAGAGAGGTGGCAAAGGATCCCCATGTTTTAAAGCCTTGTGAGGATGTGAAGAAACTTGTCCTTGCTCTATTTATAATAATGAAATACCATACTGTGACGATTTGATAGGTCATTTTGAGTTCTAGTCCTTATTTCCGTATTTCGAGACCTCGATTAGCTCCGTTTAGTATTTTTCAGTTTGCGTGCGCAGTCCATATTTTTTTCCAGAAAGATTTTATATAAAAGTTTGAAGAAACATGATTTTTAGCTTTAAAATGACTTCAGTTGACTACGGTCAATATTTTGTGTAAACGATCACGGATTGGTATTTTGATGATCCCGATGAGTCCATATCATAATTTTGGACTTGGTCGTATGTCCTGAATTGAATTTGAAAGTCCCTAACTTAATTTGACTTGATTTGTTAAAAACTAGTAAATTTGCAGGTTTAAAGATTTCCTAGGTTTGACCGTAGGTTGACTTTATGGCTATCGGGTTCAGATTTTGGTTTCGGGACTTGGTATAGGTCTATTTTACTATTTAAAATTTGTCTACAAAATTTGGTACAAACAGGAGTTGTTTGATAGGATTCAGACGCTCGGTTGTGAATTCGGAAGTTCTTGAGTGTGTTTGAAAATTTCATGCATTTTGATGTCTGAAACGTTGTTCTAGATGTTATTTTGGTATTTTTATCGTGCGAGTGAATTCGTATGATGTTATTACACTTGTGTGCATGTTTGGTTTGGTGACCGAGGGGCTCAGGTGAGTTTCGGATAGGCTACAGACCATTTGAACTTAGAAGAATTACTGGTCCAACTATCTACTGATGTTTGGTGCAATGTGCTTCGCTATCGCAAAGCCTCTCTCGCGATCGCAAAGGGGAAACTGGGACAGGGGTGGAGCTCTTCTTTGCGAACGCGGAGAATCGGTCGCGAATGCAATGCAGTGGAGGGACTACTCTTCGCGAACGCGAAGGTTTAATGGAATACTGAGGGAGACAGGTGGTTACCCTAGGCAAACATGGGCATTGGCTCGCGAACGTGAAGGTAGGGACGAGCAAGCCTTCACGAACGCGAAGGCCTTATGGCCGCTAATGCTTCGTGATCCCGTCAGGTGTCTCACGAACGCGAAGAACACCCGACGCCTAGTGATTTAAAGTTTCAAAATTGGGATTTTTTCTCATTTTTCACCATTTTCAAGTTTGATCTTGGCCTAAAGGTGATTTTGAAGAGAGTTTCATCCCAACATCATAGATTTGATTGGTTTGGAGACTAAATCTAGAGGAAAAGCCGTAGTTGAGCATTCATTTGGTTGCGGAGTGAGGTAAGTATCGTAGTTAACCTTGACTTGAGAGATTAGGAATTTTTGGTCTATTTGCTATGTGTTTTATGTATGGGGATAACGTATATGTGAGGTGACGAGTATCTATGCATTGTCATTGGGTTAAAGCATGCGGGTGGAAATTATTACTTTGTATTAAATTATATCGTTAATTATGTTATCCATTCTTAGGTTATAATATTACTTCTTTTAATTATCCGTTTCGTATTCATTGCTTATTTCATAGATGTTGTATATTTTGAAAGTTGAGTTTGATATCGTGGCACTATAACTAAAGTGAAATTGTTACCCCGCCTTGATTTTTATTATTCAGATTTGTATTGTTGATTGGTGAGCAAGAGAGAAAAGCACGAAGGGTGTTGCCGTGGCGTATTTGCATTCATTATCATATATTGAGAGATTTGAGAGTAAAAACACAAAGGGTGATGTTGTGCCATTATATTCATGTAATTACATGGTGAGGACGAGAGTAAAAGCACGAAGGGTGATGCAGTGTCATTCATCTTGATTTCGTTGCTTTGTTTGGTTTCCGGTTTTAGTGATTTAGTTGGTACATTGTTGTTTATTTCGTAGAATATTATTTAGTGATTTTGTACTTGCAGCTTCTATGATATCTCCCCTTTCGCATGTCCCCTCCCAGTTAATATTTTATCGTTCTTCTTGTTATTTTGCTACTTTATATATACTTGCACAAGTTTTTTTATGTGGGTGTCTTTTCAAAGCCTCGTCACAACCTTGTCAAGGTTAGGCTCGACACTTACAGAGTACATTGGGTCGGTTGTACTCATACTATATTTTTACACTTCTTGTGCAGATATTGGTATTGGTCCCAGTGGTGCTTAGCGGTGCGTCGGCTCAGATCGCTTTCACTTCTGAGACTTGAGGTAGATCTGATGTCGTTCGCAAACCTTTATGTCCTCTTCCATCTTCTAACTTTACTGTTTATCTAGCTTCAAACAGTTGTATTTGCTTCAAACCATGTATGTAGTATTCTAGTAGCTCATGTACTTGTGACTCTGGATTTCTTGGAGTAGTTAGTATCACGTTGCTTATATTCACACTGCATTAAATTCAAAATTTATTTCTCGTTAAATATTATTACTTTGTTTTAACTGTTAAAAATTGGTTAATTACATTATTCAAGTCAACTTGCCTAGCGAGTGGATGTTAGGTGCTATCACGGTCCCGAGGTTGGGAATTTCGGGTCATGACAAGTGATATCAGAGCACTAAGTTTCTTAGGTCACACGAGTCATGAGTAAGCCTAATAGAGTCTGGAGTATCAGTACAGAGACGTTTGTACCTATCTTCTAGTGGCTATGGAGTTTTAGGAAAATTTCACTTTTTTTCTTTCCCTATAGTTCGATTTTGTTCTATCACTGATTTTTGAATCATTCCATTCTCGTTCTCTCGAATATGGTGAGAACACGCACAACATCTACAGTAGGACACGAGCCGGAGCCCCCTATTGCATCCACTACTAAGGGTATATGCTGAGGCAATTCAGAGGCTGAGGCGGAGCTCAGCCTAGAGCTCGTGTAGCAGCACCCACTGTGGAGCCTCAGATTGATCAGGAGGAGGAGATTCCAGCTCAAACCACACCAGTTGGAACCGCTCAGGTCCTGGAGGGATTTATAACCACTCCCGTGCTTCAGGACACTCTAGCCCATTTAGTGGGCCTTATGGAGAGTATGGCCCAGACCGATGAGTTTCCTGTGGCACCAACTGTCTCTTAGGCTGGAGGAGGAGCACAGAATCCCGCTACTCACACTTCGGAGAAGATGGCCCTCATATATCAGACTCCAGCAGTCCAGCCAGCTAGGATAGTTTAGCCTTTTGTTGCTACATAGACCGGGGAGAATCCCGCGATGTCTTCTGAGGGATTGATAAGGTTGTATAAGTTCACAAAGCTCTTCCCTATTCACTTCAGTGGTGCACCTTTTGAGGAACCACACGACTATTTAGACTGTTGCTTTGAGGTGCTGAGAAACATGGGTATTGTTGAGTGCAATAGAGTAGACTTTGTAGTGTTTCAGATGACCTGTTCGGGAATGAGATGGTGGCAGGATCATGTGCGGAGCAGACCAGCTGCTTTACCGCCACACACTTGGGAGCAGTTTTCGCAGTTGTTTCTGGAGAAGTTTATTCGTTTCACTAATTTCTGGGAGTAGTTAGTATCACGTTGCTTATATTCACACTGCGTTAAATTCGGAATTTATTTCTCGTTAAATATCATTACTTTGTTTTAAATGTTAAAAATTGGTTAATTACCATATTCACGTCGGCTTGCCTAGCAAATGGATAATAGGCGCTATCACGGTCACGAGGCTGGGAATTTCGAGCCGTGACACATACTCATGAAACAAGTCTTAAAATCATGTCAATCCATAATTCGAAAAAGCCAAATTTTCTAAGTATTGCTGTGACAAATTTTCATGACATTCTATCATATGCCTTAGCCATGTCCAGCATAATCACAATATTCGCACACTTATTAGGTTGAGAAATAGATTGAAGGATCTCTTGAGCTAATTGAACATTTTTTGTAATCTTGACAAATCCAGTGTGGTTCTCAAAAATGAGTCTAGAAAGCAAAAAACTAAGTCTGAGAGCTAAGATTTTGGAAATTATCTTGTTTGTGAAGTTAGAAAGGCTAATAGGTCTGAATTGAGAGAAACATTCAGGGGAATAAAACTAAACAAGTATGAGAGGAAAACTTAACTAGTCTTTTGCTCTAGAAGAAATCAATATGAGGGATAATTGTGGACTTCATTAGCGTTAATTAGTAATAAATCTTAGGCAAAACTTTACCATTATCTTTTGATATTCCTTTCAGAGTGCATCTTAAAACAATCATTATTGTTTGTCTTTTTTTTGTAGGGTGACACATTACGAAATACATCATCCAATAAGTACATTAAAGGGAAAGAAAAGTCCAATCCTTACTGAGCGCTGTTATGCGACAATATTGATTATAAGCTATGACTTAGTTGGATAATTTAGGTTCATCGAGTGGAGTTTTTTCTCCAATCAAAAGAGACCTCAAAATAGCTTCACATATTGTACTATCATAGATCAATAGATGACCACCATCAGATACTTCATGATATTGAATCCAAGGTAACCTTTCTGCTAAATGCCTTTGTAGTTTCAAGTTAATAAATTTGTCTTCACAACCTTGCCAAATGTGAATACAACTCTGACTATTTTCAAGAAGAGGATTGGTAATTAGCTCCAAAGGATCAAAATCCCACTTACTAAAAGCCACAAGGAAATCACTGCAAAGATTGTCGAAAACACTTCTCTTCCTTAGTTTTTCCTGTTCATGGCAAGCAAAAAGTTAGTAAATTATATGTTGCACGGACTCTTCAAAATAGCTGCCGCACTCGTGTCGGATCCTCCAAAAATATACTATTTTTGGAGGATCCAATACGTACCCACGTATACTTTCGGAGAGTCCAAGCAACATAGGGTAAATGTAACACAAAAAACCATATTTTCACTAATTCATTTTTTTTTTTTTGAGATTTCATGCATTAAACGAACAAAATGGAAAATACAATCTGAGCTTAGAAAGTAGTACAGAGTATATTAACTTTACCGGGTTAAAAAATTGAAATCCTGGTACATTCTTCAAAAGCTCTAAATCCTTGGTAGTAAAGTATGTATGTTTTGAATCATTGGTCGAAGAAGTGGATGATTTTCGAGTCACCCACCAATATAGTAACGTAGGAACATATGTAGCAATCCTCATCATCCACCTATAATTTTTCTTCCTTTGATCATCCTCAGTGAGATTGACAGGAAGAGATGGCCATTGGTAATTTACAATGGGGACAACAAACGCCACGCCTGCTATCCTGCATAATTAGTGGTGGTAAAATGGATTAAAAAAATAGTTATTCATGCATATTATTCACTAAAAAATGGGTTGGATAATTAATTTTTTAAAAATGGGTCAAATATGGATAAGAACCATATTAATTACTTAGAAAATAGATAACCAATGGATAACCATATTAACTTAAACATTTGCAAAAACTCAAATTGGGGGTTCTTCAAGTTTGGGCGACTAGGAATTCTTCCCAAAGTAATCATATTCAAGAAGCCATGGATAATATGGATATCCATATTATCTGCCGGTTAATCCATTTTCTATCCGTATTAAATATGGCCTGGATATGGGTCGGGTCGGATAATTTATTCATTTTTACATTATCCGTTTTCGACCCGCCCATATTCGACATGACCAGTCTGTTTGCCACCCATAATTAAAAGATCGAAAGGAAAAGAAAAAATTGGCATATTATCAAGATAAAATCAAGGGGAAGCATTGCAACTCTCATTGTTTAGGGTCATGGGTCATGCAGTCCCACATTAAAAATAGACAAGCAAAAAAAGCTACATATGAGATGTGGAGTAGTTATTCTTAAAGGACTTGAGGCTTTCGGAGAAAATTGTACGATATTAATCCAAAGCAAATAATATCATACCATATTAATAATATTTTTGGGCTAGCTACTTAGCCAACATGCTGGTGTTAGGATAATTCAACAGGACAAGTATAAAAATGTCAGTAGCTCTCATGTTGTGGTCCGTGAGAAGTTAAGAAACAAGGAAGAAATGATGTGCACTCTGGTGCTCATAAATACTCAAATGATGCTGATGGTACACAATAAATCTTTAGATAATTAAACCAATGAATTCTGATGATATTTCTGGGAAAGATTACTAAATGTACGAGCAAAGTCCCACATTAAAAGTTTATAAGTAAAAGAATGTACATATAAGATATAAATATACTCTTATAGTTTAGCCTAACATGTGGGGTATAATACTTACACGGTTTATTTTTTGTGTGATTGTCCAAATCAGATAGTATCATATCATGTTAATCGTGCCTGTTGGACTAGTTTAGCCTAACGGGATCAATGTAAAATTAGTAGAGCACATAGTTGTTCTTGTACAATCAGTTGAGTCTTAAATAGTAGGAGTCACAAAACAAACTAAAGACTAAGAATGCAAAAGAGTTGATCATACCTGTGGGGAATGTGTTTGATGCAACTCCAAGTTGGGTAAGATCCCATTGAGTTACTAATAATATAGAACTTTGATCCTAATTGTAAATGATCAACCAATTCCTCAATGTCAGGTGCTTCACTCCTTAGGGATCGTTTTGGGTTTGGGTCACTTTCCCCATATCCAGCTCTATCGTATTGAATTAGATATATCCCCATCTTCTTCATCATTTCCTGCTCATAATTTCAAGGATCAACAACAACATCCTAATAAAATGTCTTAGAAACGAAAATATAATTTCATGCTTATATAATTAAGCGGGTAAATTTTACAAATAGTCGTATATCTATGACGTTTTTTCACCAAAGTTATATAACTTTGTTTTATCACGCAAAAATCATAAAACTATCACTAACTCACACAAAAATCATAGTGAACGAAAAACACAATTTTCCGGTAGACTAAATGATAATTTCACACTCAATGTTTATAACAAAATACGTTATTTATCATAATTAAGTGATAAATTGAAATGATAATATATATGTAATTAATATGGACCAACCTGCGGTGCAAGGAAGTCCCTTTCTTTGGAGCTGTCAAAGCCATGAACAAAGATGATTCTGTAATTGGACTTCTTTTTTGGAACACCTCTCTCTTTGTATGCTAAGTATCTTCCGTCACTTAATCTGAACTTTGATGAAAAGGTGAATTCAGTCTTATCAACTGTGTTCAAACCCATTCTGAAAGGAAAACTTTTGAAGAGAAAATATTAATGTTAAAAATTAGCTGCTTGTTGGGAGTTTATATGGGAAGAATACAATGAATTTAGGTCAACCCTTCAACTAACGTGCTGCTCAATAAAAGATTTTGTCAAGCTGGCATCAAAATCTTCTTAAATGCTTTTCCCCATGTTTTATTAATTCTGATAATGAAACAGTTGCACTATTAGTTCTTTAATTTTTGTATAAACTTACTTTTTCAAGAGACTTCTAATATCATATTTAGACTGATTGGGTTAATTGATTTATTTCTAATCCCATCAAAATAGATACTCTTAATTAACATGATACACTATATCTCATACTCTAATATCAATATCAACACTTCTTTTTATATTAATTTATGCTAGTTTCAATGTGGTAATACGATTATTTTGAGAAATGATAATGAAGCTTTCACTATATAATGTGAGGTGTTGTGTGGTTAGCACATCTCCCTTGGACATTGAGGATATAATCTGGAATACATTAATTTCATGAACGACTTGAAGGCCATCTCTTTTGCTCCGTTGTAACAATCTGTCCTGCTTTTAGTATATCTATATCTAATCATATCTCTAATTGAGAATACAATATACGGGACTAGGATTTGAACATTCGAAAATATAGTTATTGTTAGGTATATAAGTCGGAGTGGTAGGGTCGTTTGGTAGCCGGTTAGAGATGAGTTATCCATGTATTAAAATTAGGATAACTTTATACATTGTTTGGTTAAAAGAAGGGAAAAAAATAATCTCCACATAGAAGCTAGTATAAGTTATACAATGTTTGGTTTTTTCCCCTCTTTTTCACATAAAATGTAGCATTGCTAATACAATGTTTGGTTCATATTTTTTTTTTTAACTAATACATGTATAAGTTATGAGGGAATCTATATATTATTTATGCAGGGTAGAAGGTGGAATAACTTATACATGTATTAGTAATACTTGTATTAAAACACAAAATGATAAGAATACCCTTTATTCAAACTTGTATTTTTTTGTTTAAAAATATATATTTAAACTATACTAACAATTTTAATAAAATAAAGTAAGCTAATAATAAATAACATTCACATTACATTTATATTACAAATCCTTATATAACTACCGCATAACTAATTCATGCATAACTAATCCCAACATAACTCAACCTTGCATAACTTATCCCTGCATAACTAATACATGCATACTAATCCCTGCATTATGTCACGACCCAAAATTCACCTAGTCGTAATGGCACCTAACTCAACCCGTCAGATAAGCCAATTAACCACTAACCAATTCTAATAACAATTAATAAAGCAATTAAGTAAAGAAATATCTGAATCTGATACATTCCCCAAGGACTGGTAGTACAAATCATGAGCTTCTAAGAATAGAGTTTACAAAGCTGAAATGAAGTAAATACATCATCTGTTTGAAAAGTACATAAACAGAGTTTTATAGATCTAAGGCTACCATGAACAAGAGGCAGCTACAACCAGAACGCAGGTACATCTTCAGATCCAGCTTCCAACGAACACAGCAACATCAACAGCCAACATCCGCACGCAAGGTGCAGAAGTGTAGTATGAGTACAACCGACTCCATGTACTCAATAAGTAACAAACCTAACCTTAGGTTGAAAGTAGTGACGAGCTTGTACCAAGGTCAGAGTCCAGCTCCAATAACCAACAACAGTTCATAACAACATAAAGCAAGTAATAAAAGAAGTAACTACAAGAGTAAATACTCAGCTAAATCATGATTTCTGAAAATAGTTCTGTCTTTCAAGTGTGTCAGTGAAAATCCCAAGTCGTTTACCAAATTTGCCAAAAATATAAGTAAGTTTGAAAACAGTAATTCTCCTAAAAATCCTTTCAACAATGAATAAGATGTTTCATTTTCTTTCCAGATAGCGAGTGAAACAATGCATCGCTATGCCCATAGGCCAATATGTGTGAGAAGTCATGAATGGCGTGATACCGTACAGCATGAGTGAAATACATCTCTATGCCTGTATGTCATGTGTGCATGTCAATGCAATGTATCTCAGAGATGAACTCATGTACTCACACTCTCAGAGTACTCAATCTTATTGTCTCACACATTCCACTCATCATGCTCAATCACTCGGAACTGTATATGGCCAATTAGGGTCAGGGAAGATCCATCCCAGAATATACACATCAACTGATCATGCTTCAGACAAGATCCATATCTAGAGAAGATCCATCCCTCAATATAAATCAACCGCGCTCACTGGGGTATGTGCAGACTCCGGAGGGGCTCCTTCAGCTCAAGTGCTATATTGCTGCGGTGTGCAGCCCAATCCCATATAAATAGCCATAAGGCTCGTTGCGGCATGCAGCCTGATCGTATATACATCCCTAAGGCTCATTGTGGCGTGCAACCCGATCCATATATACAGCCCGAAGGCTCGTTGCGGCGTGCAACCCAGTCAATATACATACATATAGCTCACAACTTGGCACTCAGGCCCTAACTCTGTCACCAACCTCTCCGGTATCTCGGGCTCACAATGACATGAACTAGCCTATGATGTATCAATAAATAACAATAGAGACTGAGATATGATATGCAATAAAATGAGTATGACTGGGTATGACATTGCAATGTAAACAAATAACTCAACAGCAGTCATGGCCTCAGTGGGTTCCAACAGAATAAACATGTAGCCTAAACATGGCTTCTAACATGAATCATAGCTCGATAACTCTAGTATGTAGAGATTTCATGATTACAGACAAGTTCAGGTAACTACACAATACCACAGAAATAATGGAATCACAGTTCACACGGTGCACTCCCACACACCCGTCACCTAGCATGTGCGTCACCTCAACACCAAACATATATCACGTATATTCAGGGTTCATACTGTCAGCTCCAAGATTAGAAGAGTTACTTACCTCGAACAAGCAAATTCTAATATCGAGCAAGCCAAGCGATGCTCCGAAAATGCCATCTCGTGTGTACCGACCTCCGAACGGTTCAAAACTAGCCAAAAGCAACTCAAATACATCAAATAAAGCCCAAGAAAATAATTCCAAAGGATAAAGATCGAATCTTTAATCAAAACCCAAAACCAGCCAAAAGTCACACCCGGGCCCACGCCACGGAACCCTACAAAACTCACAAAATTCGATACCCCATTCAATTAAGAGTTCAACCATACTAGTTTCACTCAAATCCGACTCCAATTCGATGTTCACAACTCAAAAATTCACATTATGAAACTTTAGTCTAAAACCCACAATTTCTCTTTAAAATTCATCAACCAATAGCCAAAAATGAAGATAGACTCATGGAATAAGATCAAAACTAAGTGTAGAACACTTACCCCAATCCTTGTGATAAAAATTGCTCAAAAAGTCACCTCAATCCAAGCTTGGAAATGTTAAAATGAAGCCAAAATCGCAAACCCTTGTATTTATCATTCTGCCCAGCACTTTCGCATATGCGATTAAAATGTCGCATCTGCAACCTTCGCTTTTGTGGAAAAATTTCGCTTCTGCGAAAAATAGCCTTGCCCAGCAATCCCCGCACCTGCGGTATTAAACTCTGCATCTACGAAGACCCTCGTACCTGCGCTTTCACTCGACGCACCTGCGCTTCCACTCGACACACCTGCGCATCTGCACCTGCGCCCTTTTCTCCGCTCCTGCGGGCCTCCTCATCTAGCTCTCATCCCGCTTCTGCCACTGCATTGTCGCTTCTGCGACCAGACCGGCAACAACTAGCATTAACAATATGAAGAAAAATGATTTGAAATCAATCTGAAATACGCCCGAACCCCTCGGGACCCCGTCCGAACATACAAACAACTCCCATAACCTAATACGGGCCTACTCAAGACCTCAAGTCACACCTAACAATATCAAAATGAAGAATCGCACCTTAAATCAAAATTTATGAACTTTGAACTTTCAAATTCTATATCTTGTGCCGAAACACATCAAACCAATACGGAATTACTTCAAATTTTGCACACAAGTCATAAATGACATAACAAAGTTATTCTAATTTCCAGAATCGAATTCCGACCCCGATATCAAAAAGTCAACCCCCGGTCAAACTTCCCAAAAATTTAACTTTCGCAATTTCAAGCCAAATTCCACTACGGACCTCCAAATAATTTTCCGGACACGCTCCTAAGTCCAAAATCACCATACGGAGCTACTGGAAACATCAGAAATCAAATCCGAGGTTGTTTACACATAAATCAACATCAGCATAGACTTTTCCAACTTAAGCTTTCCATTATGAGACTAAGTATCTTAATTCATTCTGAAATCTCTCCGGACCCGAACTACTTACCCCGGCAAATCACATAACAACTGTAAAGCATAAATTGAGCAGTAAATGTGGGAACAAGGTTGTAATACTCAAAATGACCGGCCGGGTCGTTACATTCTCCCTCACTTAAATATACGTTCGTCCTCAAATGTGCCAACAGTTGTTTCCAAGTCATCAAATCACTATTTCATCTTACCACGCACGTACTCGGGGTGATCCCACGTCACCTTATCACATATAGGCCCTACAACACAACACAACACAACAAGAATCATTAATTTAATCTTGGCCCAAAAACCTTGGAATTCAATTCCCAACATTCAAAATTTTCTTACAAGACACAAATCTCACAGTTACACACTGTATAAGTTTGAACAAGCTTCAACGAGCCATAACTATAACCACAGATATAATAACCTAACATATTACACAGCTCGCATGCTCGTAGCACCATTCTTGATCATAGTAACTACTCCAAAACCAACCAGGTACTAGCATTAAACCCCATATCGAACAAAAACCTCGTTCCAAAACCTTGTACACTGCTGAAAATGAAAGCAACATGTAGAAATCTCATGACCTCTTATCAGATCAACAAGTCATGGAGCTCTCTCGCCCCAACCAGAACTATAATCAATTTCTAAGCCGACTTTCAATATTATCCTCCCGAATATACCGTAATCAAACCTGATAGTACCCATCCTAGGTCCAATGACCTTATATTATATAACAC